GCCAACCTGGGCTACACAGTGAGTTCAAGGCCCGCCTGAACTACACAGCAAGACCTTGTCTTGAAAAACCAAAAACAAAAGAAAGAAAAAGAAAATATTTTGACTTGAGTAAGATATGACATACCAAAAGTGAAGGATGAAGCTAACGTCTTACATTCACATACAAGAAAGGGCTGAAAAGGAATGGTTTAAGGATCCACCTCAAGGGCCAGGGATTTAGCTCAGTGGTGCCGCTGCCTGCCTCACAAGTGCAAGGTCCTGAGTTCAATCTCTGGTACCAAAAAAAAAAAAAGAAAGGATCCACCTCAAGAGGCAAGCTAAGAAGTGACAAAAAAGATACTTAAAAAGGAAAAGAAATCAAAAGCCAATACTAAAGATCCTACACACATTAAAATGATAAAAAAAGAAAACATTATGAACAACTTTATGCCTCTAAAATTTGAAACCACATATAATGGGAAAACAAACAAAAAAAGAAATGAAAAATCAAAATAATCTATTAATTGAACAAAACTTATAATTAAAGTATTTTCTTAGTGGAAAACCTTACCTCTGACAGTTTTATCACTGAACTGATTCATACAGTTAAAGAAGAAGTAACATAATTCATATACAATACAATGAACTCTTCTGGAGAATATTTTCAAAAGGGAACATTCCCCAGTTCCTTCTATGAGCCAAAATCTAAGAAGTTAGGCCAATCTTTCTTTTGAACAGACTCAAAAGTCCTAAAAGAATATTAGCAAATTGAATATCCAATGACATAGATATAAAAATAATATCAAAATTGAGTTTATTTCAGGAGTGAAAAATAGGTTTAATATCAGAAAATCAACTGATGCAATTCAAACACATTAAAAATCTATAATCTCAATACACACGAATTTCCTCAATATGATAGCAGAGGACATAAAAAAGCTTTCCATGCCCCACAGGACAAGACATACATCAAGGTTACAAGTAGTTCCACATCCATGGTTTCAGTTACCGAGCATCAATCACAGTCAGGACAATGAGGCATCTTGAGAGAGAGGCCACATTCACATCTCTTGACTACAGTGTAACTGACCTATATTTTGTTACTACATTAGTTTCTTACTGTAATTTATAACATAAATGTATTTATCTTGGAGTTTTTGAGCAGGGAGCCGCAATGTAGCTCAGCCAGCCCTCCCTAGCACTGGGATTGTGGTGGGCACCACCATGCCTGGCTCCAAATTATACTTTATTGTAGTATCCACGTATGGGAAAAGTCATGGAATATACAGGGTTTGGTAGTATCCAGGGATTTAGGAATTGCCTGGGAGTCTCAGAACATATCCCGAGGATAAAGGGGGTACAGTATTCCCTGTATTTCTATATGACATTGTGCTAGAAATTACAGCCAATGAGCTCAAGTGTAAAAGTATCAGAATGGAGAAAAGAAAAGAAAAAAGCCTATCATTATTTACAGGCAATGTGACTGTATTTAGACAAAAAACCCTGAAAGAATCTACGGAGTAAATATAATAATTACTAAGTGATTTTACCAGTGTAAATGTGACACAGTTTGTCTCATAGCCAGAGTAGACCAAAGACTAAAACTGGTTTCTCTATTATTATCCAAATGTTCAAAAAATGTTTGCTTCCACACTGCTGTGACTTCCATTTGGCTGGAAGTGCCAGTGCATGGGAAGAAAGGCGTGGATTAAGAAACAGTGGTGGGAGCTGGTTGGGAACCGAGGCTGCTACCTGGCCACCTGGACTCTGCAGGCCACAGGATAACAGGTCCGAAGGGTGGTCACCAGTTGGCAGGAATAAATGACCTTGATCAGTGGAAAACACAATTACAGTGGACCCTTGACTTATGAACTCAACTCGTGGTGAGGTTCAGGCTCCTCTACACAGCCTTCAAAGTCTCTCTCCTGCATAATTTTAGGCCACACTTTCTTCCAGGCAAATCTGAGCCCACAATTTCTCAGGTAACCCCACACAGGAAAGGAGGTTGTCATGTACCTTCCAGAATCTTTAAAAGGGTTAAATCTGTATCTGAAACCACCTGAAAGCACAAGCAGCTGGCATTTGGGTTGTAACTCAAGACTTTGGTCAAAAGTTAAAACTAAAACTCCAGTCGTGACTCGGGTTGTTTGTACATCAGGCTGGTCATAACGCGAGAGTTCACTGTACTGCTTCACAGTCTAGAGACGGGGGGGTACTCCTAAAGTGCTACCTGAAGCCGAGCTCAGTGGCATACACATGGAATTCCAGCACTCGGGGAAGCTGAGGCGGGAGGATCCAAAGTTCAAGTGCCCCCTGGGCAACTTAGTGAGACACTGCTCTAAGTAAAAACTTCAAAAATGGCTGCGAATGGATCTCTGTGGTAGGATATCCTGGCTTCAATCTCCTATTATAGCCCCCAAAATAAAAATAAAAGTACTTCCAGGTAGAGTAAAGTCAAACTCAAAGGAAAAACTTAATGAAGGCAGTGGAGAGGACCAGTGAGGGGTCAGCACTCGGGTCATGGCCAGGTGAGCACTGTGGACAACTGAGGGGCCCGGATGTGGAGGACGCCCCTGCAGCACCCCACATGCACACCCTATCCCCCCACTGGCCAGGGAGGAGCGAGCACAACACCCACCTGTTGAGCTCCCGGATGGCGCGGAGCCTGCGGATGTAGCGGCGGCAGCTGGGCAGGATGGAGAGGTGGTGCGCTTGCAGCGTGAGGAAGAAGCACTCGGTGGGGAACTTGGGCTCCGAGAATGGAGGCTGATCTCCATCTGGGAGAGAGAACACGACGCTGGATAAAATCTACTGTGGGTCTCAAACCCGGGAAAAGCTCAGTTTGGTAGGGACTTGCACTCCAGTTCTCCAGAAGTTTAAGCTCCGGCCCGCTTGAACCCCCAGTGGTTTGCTATTTAACATGCAGCGATGGAATTCAAATCAGAGCTGCCAGCAGTGAGACATAAAACTTACAGCCAGTTGGGAACAAGTTAAGGACACGCTGTAATATGACAGACTTAGCTGGTGCCATAGGAGCAACTGAATCCCTGTGAGCTCTGTTATGACCACATCTCCTGTCCCTTCTGGTTGAATATCTATGTAGATGTCCATCGGTGATCTTTGACTTTATGTGTCCTGATGCATTTTACAAAACCACTGCCATTTTTCAATACACAATTATTACTGAACTCTTAAAATGGAACTATAGTAATAAGCTGTTGATTCCACAGCCATTTCCCTGCACATTTGTTCTAATTTCTCTATTATAAATAATAGATTAAGGCTGGGCGTGGTGGTGCATGCCTGTAATCCCAACACTCGGGAGGCTGAGGCAGGAGGATCACTGTGAGTTCAAGTTCAGCCTGGGCTACATGGCCAGCTTGGACTGCACAGCAGACCTCTCAAAAAAACAAAAACAGGGCTGGGGATTTAGCTCAGTGGTTCTGCCACCTGCCTCGCGCAAGGGCAAGGTCCTGAGTTCAATCTCCAGTACCAAAAACAAAAGCAAAAAAACAAACCAAAAACAGACTACTGAATGGGAGGAGCTATATACAAAAATTACTTTCTTGCCCCCCAGCTTTGGGAATATACTTTGAAAAGTGGAATTATTAAGAATAACAGTATTACATATTTTTGTTTTGTTTTTAATTGACAGAAAATAACTATTATTTATAGGGTGTGGTGATTTATTTCAATCCAGGCATACGATGTACAATGATCAGATCAGGATAACTGGTATGTTCATTGTCTCAAGCACACTCAAAATCTTCTCTCTAGCTATCCTTTTTTTTTTTTTTCAATACTGGGGACTGAACTTAGGACCTTGTGCTTTCGAGGCAGGCATGGCGCCACTGAGCTAAATCCCTGGCCCTCTCTTGCTATCTTGAAATACACAATTAATTGCAGTTGACCACAGTTATCCTAACTCGCTAAAGAACATCAGAAGTTATTCCTCCGGTCCTTCCAAGTGTGGTGGCATGTGCCTGAGGTCTCAGCTACTTAGAGAGGACCGCTTGAGGCCAGGAGTTCCAGGACAGCCAGGACAGCCTGGGAGAACACGGTGATACCCTATCTCAAAGTCCAATCCACCAGCTGGGCAAGGTGGTGCATACCCATAATCCCAGCACCCAGGAGGCTGGGAGCAGGAAGCTCGCTGTGAGTTCGAGGCCAGGCTACATTATATAAGTGAGACTCTGTCTCAAAAAGCAAGATAAAACAGGCCCGGGGGTTTAGCTCAGTGGTTCTGCCACCTGCCTAGCAAGTGCAGGATCCAGAGTTCGATCCCTGGTACCAAAACAAAAAACAAAACAAAGAACAAGACAAAAACAAAAACAACTCCCCCCAAAAAACCTATTTAAGTAGCCTCCCCCTTTCCCTCAGTAAATTTTGTTATGAATCCCCAGAATTCACTTTAGATTAAATAAATTGATTTAGGGCTGGGGATTTAGCTCAGTGGTTCCACTGCCTGCCTTGCAAGTGCAAGGTCCCGAGTTCAGTCCCTGGTACCAAAAAAAAAAAAAATTGATTTAATGCCATCTGTTTCTTCACAAATTTACATTCTGTGCCAGTGAAAGAGAATCTTTTAGAGCTTTCAATGATACAAACAGCCCGCTGCAGCATGCGTGCCATAGGTTCGCCACCACTGTTCTATGCTACCACTTTGATTTGGGCTAATTTATAGATGTATGATAATTTGAATTTCTTTCAATTTGTACAACTCCTACAATAAGTCCCCTTTATACCCAAGTATATTTTATTTCCTGTGACACATATAGTATTGATTACATTTTTTTTCCCATGCAAAAGAAAACCGCCTGCTGTTAGAATTCAAGTTTGGCCCTTACACATTTGTAACAGTTCTATGTGCTGAATAGTGAGCCCTTACCAATATGCAATATGTATTTCCCCTTCTTTTATTTTCTATATTCATTTTTCTTCTCTATAAAAGGTATGTTTACATATTAAGACACATGCATATTATCTCTAATGGTATGTTTCTTTCCTGAAGTAACAAATTTCTGTCTTCACAGTTGGGCCAAATCCTCCATTTGGTTTTCTTTCTTTCTTTCTCTCTCTTTTTTAAAGTAAATCTTGAACCCTTGGACTCTCAGAATTTATAAGTCTACAGATGTGACTCGAGGATTACAGCGACATTCAGGGAAGCACCAGCCCAAGGCTGACTCTCCTACTCCCTGGCTGCTCCATGGTGAGCAGCTCACATCACAAGGCTGCCACAGCCCGGTTCTGGTTCACCCTATTCAACGAGTAACTTCATGATTCTGGAGAAACAAACGCCACAGGGATTTGTCTGTCCTTAAATAATGTTTTATATTTCTGAGAAGAAAAATGAGTAACTACAGGTTCCAAATAGTCACATTTTCGCCGGGGATTTAGCTCAGTGGTTCCGCCGCCTGCCTAGCAAGCACAAGGTCCAGAGTTCAATCCCTGGTATCAAAAAAAAAACCCCACAAACAAAAACAAATAGTCATATTTTCAAACTATCTGTTCATCAACGTCTATAAAATATTTCATAAGAACTGTAATTGATAACTATACAGAAAATCCATTCCTTTTTTAAAGATCCAGAACAGTATATGTCCACAGATATGTTCTATGGACCCACTTGTTTCGGTGAATCCAAACAAGAATACTTCCCTGGGTGGTTTTTTTTTTTTGGTACCAGGGATTGAACTCGGGTCCTTGCACTTGCGCAGCAGGCAGAGAAACCACTGACCTAAATCCCCAGCCCTTCCCTGGGTGGTTTTTACTGTGTGCCTTGGACCTGGAATGCCACCCTCAGGAAAGGCAGCAGCACCCTGTGGGCAAGCGTGGCATCCACACCAGCAGCACCGCATTACTCACAGAGCTCGGCCAGCCACTCGTTCACGTCCTCCATCGTCGCGTTCACGCGCGTCTCATCGTTGGGCAGTGTAATCCGGCAGCGCGGGTGGAATATATACGTGGGGTCAACTGTCTCTAACTTGATCTTGGTACTCAGCTGCTGCAGTACCCAGAGGAAATTCAGCATAAATCCATCTGTAGATACTAGTCGATCGTCTGTCTATGAAATATAAAAAAACATTCAAAATAACGATCTGAGGAGGGACTGTCACACAACTTAATATGAAAGCAGACTGACCATTCAAACATGACCACATGCTAAAGTTAGTGAGCAGACATATCCTGTCACCACTGTCGTTCTGTGAGTGGGTGCTGAGAGTGAGTGTTCATCCACTGTGGGGGATTTCATACCCTCACTCAGTGAACTTTCAGAGGAAGCCTGAGGGTCAGCAGCATGCTATGCACATTTTACAGAGGAGGGAATGCAGGTTCAGAGAACGTAAGTGATTTGCCCTAAAACCTCCACATTAATAAGCAGAAACACAATAAGTGTGGCTTCCTTTCTCTTCTTTATTCCCTGCCAAAACATCAGAACAGAGCCAGGGCTATAGCTGAGTGGTAAAGTGTTTGCCCAGGGTGTTCAAGGTCCTGGGTTCGACTGCCAAAAATAAAACAGAATGACTAGTCCTATGGGTTACCCTGTGACATAGCTGCATTAGCTGACAGCTTCGGTGCTGCCCTGCTTTAATGATCCAACAATTCTAAGAATGACAGCACCTGGCGAGGGAGTGCCCAACACTAACCCAACAGCTTCACTTACAATAAAGCCACAGGTTAGGTGTCACTGTTATCCTCATTTAGCGATGGGGAAACTGAGGCATGCCTCTGCAACTGTCTATGGCCCCACTTTTGTTTCATTTTGTTTTGGTATCAGGAATCGAACTCGGGACCTTGCACTTGCAAGGCAGGCGGCGGAACCACTGAGCTAAATCCCCAGCCCCTACAGTCCCACTTTTAATAAATGGTGGAACCACAACCAGAAATCACCACGTCCATGCATTTCTCTATACATTTTGTTTTGCTTCTAAGTGTCATAGGAAGGATGTTATTTTTTATTTGTTTTGAGACAGGGTCTCACAATGGAAGCCAGGCTGATCTCAAATTTGTGGTAATCCTTCTGCCTCAGCCTCCCGGAGGGCTGGGATTACAGGTGTGTATCACAGCTTACACACAGACCTGTGTGTTGGGCCTACACAAAAGCTGCCTGTTTCCACCTTGGTATCTTGCACACATCCAGAAGGCGGCTCTTTTCTCAGGCTCACAGTGGCTGGCTTTGTGCATCAGTCAAGGATCTGATCAACTGTCACCTCAGAGAGACCTTCCTGCTCCTCAATCAAAACTCACCCCCACAGCTCCCTTCTGGTCTGGTACAGTTACTCGCAAGTTCTTCCCTTTGCGCTGTTTTCTTTGTGGATTTCACTTATGCATCTACCCACTGACCCTGAGAATGCTGGTCTCGGTCAACACTGTGTTCCCGCATCCCAGAGCAACGCCTGGGGGAGCAGGTGACCAAAGAGGGCTCTGGGAACCCTACCTGCATCTGCGCCTTCTTCATGTTGGCATTGACGACAGCTGCCATGTAACCAAGGGCCGCCTCCCGGGTCTCCCCATTTAACAAAATACTATGCAGAATCTTGAAGAGCTCTTGCTGCAGTTATTTTTAAAAGGAAGAGAAAAATTAACCTCATTTTGAATGCTATTCCATTTATCCCTCTACTTCTAGAACAGCTGGCCTGTCCCCCACTCTGTCCCCTCTCCCACTTCCAGGCCCTCCCCGAGAGGCTGACTGCATGGGGGACAGAGGATCAGAGTGCACACTCAGTGCTGAGATGCATGGCAGCACAGCACATGGAGAACGGAGGAGAATGGAGTTACGGGTTTAGTAAAACGGCCTTCATTACTTCCGTTCCATGATCAAAATTCCCTTCATTACCCAAGCCTGTGATATGCTTCTACATCAGAATTGAAGACACATTAATCAACCTTAGAGATAAGTGGATCAGTGAGGAGGTGTGTGCAAATTCACAGCTCTTGACCCCAGGACAATTCAACTGGCTGCTTGGCTGCTCCGGGTGCCAAGAGAGCAGGGCCCTAAATGTAGGGCCCTAAGCAGGGGCCTGGCCCGGGGCTGGTACATTGGAGGTAGCACGATTTAGCTGTGGTTATTACTCAAGGCTTAGAAAGCTAGGGTGCAGCCCAGTGGTATAGACTGGCCTGGGGATCTCCATGTAACAAAACAAAAATTTTAAAAAGATATCTGTTCCTTATATATAGGAAGCTTTCCTTCTTGAAAGCTCAACTGATTTAAATTTTTTGTTTCATTTTTTGTTGTTGTTTTGAGACAGGATCTCACTATGTAGTTCAGGCTGGCTTCAAACTCACAGTGATCCTCCTGCCTCAGCCTCCCGAGTACTGGGATTACAGGCGTGTGTCACCATACCTGGCTTCAAACTCACTTTTACACAGCATTTTCGAACCAGGCAGCCTCCCGCCCACAGAACGGAAGGAGCTGCCTAGCTACAGCTCCTCTTCCAGTCCCTGCTCACGTCTCTTCCCTCAACACCTACCCTTCCCAGCTCCAAGTAGTGCTGCAGGGACTGGCTGACCACTCGAGTGTTCTCCAGGGTAATGGCAGGCCCCGAGAAGTATTTTTCGACCACTTTAATCTGGAAAGATGAGAAACACATTCAGTCAGCACACTGTGCACAGCCGAGAAGGAGTCTGAAAAAAAAGGCAGTGAGGGCAAATGGCCACTGTACTTACGTCGTCTTCAGCAAAGACCGAGAAGCTGAAGAAGGCTCCCAAGTAAGAGAGTCTCTGCAGCTCCCTCCCGGAGCCGGGGCTTAAGGGTTTCGGCAGCCACAAGGGCAGAGAGGCAACCTGTGGGGGACACGGAGGATGCAGGTCAAGTGCTGCGAGGGCAGGTGGGCACCGGGGGAACGGACCGAGCTCCGGCAGCCGCCTGCTCAGCACCAGCGCTGACACCACCACCCCACAGCACAGGTGCGACCTGTTAGGGTCCCTGGTGGTCTTTCTCACCTCAGACAGAGGAGAGCCCTCCAACTCCTGCAATTCACAAGATACTCTTCGGTGGAGCTGGAATGAACCACTTCATACTACCCAGAGGACTTGAGTATAGACTAGGGCTTGTCATTCTAGTTGTACAATACTGACCCCTCCCTCCCAAAACAATCAGAAGGGAGTGAGTAAGTTCATGCGGGAAACACTGCGTACGACAGCATTTTCGCAGCTGAGAGCTCCCCAGTCAGGACATCCCCAGCTCTGTCCTAATTTCCTCCCAGAGGTCTTTAGCTGATGTTAACTAAGACTGGCTCTTGCATGGCGGTGCGCTCCTGACAATGCGTGCGTGTGCGAGGTGGGCACTTACCAGATTGCACACAGGGTGTGTCTTCCCAAACTTGGTTTCACAGAGTTCACCTAATGCCTGGAAATAAGGTCAGAGAGAATCACTCACATGCATCGCAGCTCACACTGCTGCAAAGGACAGCTTTAACTGCAGCCTCAAACACCTGGCCATTCCTGAAACAACGGTAACAGCTTTGTGGATTTTTTTTCTTCTTAATCAACTACTAATACACATGCATTGTAAAAGTTGCTCAAACTTTACCCTTAAAAACAACCCCTACTGGGCCAGGGATTGAGCTCAGTGGTTTCACCACCTGCTGCACAAGTGCAAGGACCTGAGGACCCGAGTTCGATCCCCGGTACCAAAAAAAAAAAAAAAAAACCCCAAAAAACCCCTACTGATATTCTGATTGACAGCTTTCCAGACATATTTTTGTGCATATATATATAGGCTTAAAGGTGTGTTTGTACAAAAGGCAAGTTTTCACCTTACATCTTTCCATGTCAAAATATTTTTCATAAACTTTCGGTGGCTACTCTTGGCAGTGCTACCCCTGCCTATACTCCACATTTAATAAGCTATCAAATTCAGAACATGCTTAAAAGCATGATGTGGTACTGGTAAAAAATCCAACACTTTCCTTCAGCACGCTAATCATTCCCCACCTTAGAGAATTATGACATTTTTTAGAGATGGAGGCAGTTTCATGTTGCCATGGTGATTCAACAAAACAATGCTGAATCTGAACCAAATTTTCTCTGTGATTCAGACACAGCTATTATGGAAGTTGCTACCCACTGAGGGAAGCTTTCAGGTCAGTGTATTTAGGCACTGAGGCTGCTCTGAGAGCCCTCAAGGCTCAAGGAGCTGTGGACAAGTCCAAGTCCTCACAGGCTTTGCTGCCTGAGAGGGTCACAGGGGAAGTCTTAAAAATCCCAGTCCTGGGCCAGGGACTTAGCTCAGTGGCACCGCGCCTGCCTCGAAAGCGCAAGGTCCTGAATTTGATCCCTGGTACAAAAAAAAAAAATTCCAGTCCCGTGCTACATCCACTCCTACTTAATTGCAGTGCCTAAAGCCAGAGCCAGGCCCCCACAGTGTGGAAGATCCCCAGGTGACCCCAATACAGAAGGGCCCAACAACCTAGACAGCAAGGCCTGCTACTTCTGAACTGAGCTCCTGCTCTCTTCCCCAGCCAGCCTCTCTCACTGTGCATCCCCGTCCACACCCTCATTGTTAGATAAGAATTGATAAAGGCCCCAACTAAAATCTACAACTACACCTACAGGAATGCAGGCTTTGTCTCTTGACCAGGGACATCCTGTTGACATCTGACACTGAAGTGCCCCGCTGAAACATGAAGCTAATTCAAACCATGACCAAAAAGGGAATAATTCCAGAAGGAATATTTACCGAATACAGTGATGATTAGCATTACCTAAAATATTTCCTTACTGATCTCTCTGCAATCAGATTATGCTGCTTCCTGTTCTGTCTGCCACAGACAGAACAATACATAAGAATTAACTTTTTGGTTTCGCCGCCTGGTGCGCAAGCGCAAGGACCAAAAGAATTAACTTTTTTTTTTTGCACAGGGCATCGAACTCAGGACCTTGCACTTCCCAAGTAGGCACAATGCCATTGAGCTACACCCCTGCTAGGATTAACAGTTTTATTGGGAACCTGAATAACATGTGGAATGCAAAGAACCCTAGCATAAATCCACCCAAACGTATTTTTAGAAGAATTCTTGCCTCATCCTCCAATTTCCTAGTCATATTGTGTGACAATTTCAGAAGAGAAAAGAGGCTCTCAGTTTCATCTCGGGTCCAGTGTTTCCCAGCAGCCAGAGATTCTGCCTGTCAGCTACGCTTCCTCTGGGTGTGGAAGGAGCTAAGCTCATTTACTTCCCAAGCAAAACCCAGAGAAGAAGTGTATGAGTCTGAGGCAGGCGGCAGAACCACTGAGCAGCACTGGAGTCCAGTGCCTGGGAGGTGGGGAAGGAACCAGGCTGCCGACTGTGTCACCTAGGTGCCACCCAGACGCCAGGTGCCCTGCACAGCCAGCACCATGGCCCGTGTTTTCAATTGGAAAATAAGGTTCATCAGAGACCTGAAAAAAAGTAAGTTAAAACGATTTTTAAAGAAAAACATCTATTGACTATATTAAAGAAAAAGGTTTTACCATGAGGGGGTATTTAAAGTAGTCACTATCGAGGGAGCATTCTTTGGCAGCAAGAGCCAGGCCTTGCAAAACGGGGATAAAGATCTGTAAGAGAAAAATCAAAATGACAAATATAAGCTTACGGAAAATTAAGCGCGAGCAGCATGTCAGATAAGGTGCTGGAGCTAAATGTGTAGGCACTTCCACTCCTTTCCCGAGGAACAAATCCACTGAGAGTGTCGCCTGTCTGATAGGGAGGCCAACCCCAGGACGACGTAAGGACTTGGGGGCCCTAATGCTGTGGAGGCGACAGAAACCCACAAATGTGGAGCCCTGAGGGACTCCACGGGGTCCCTGCTCTAATGCTCTCCATTACCAAGTGTGTGTCACCCGTAGGAAACAGGGCTACATGTTCTGATATTTTCTCAGCTCTGACAGTACTTTTTTGGGGTTTTTTTTTTGAGGAAAACAAAACAAAAAAAGATGAATCGTGGTTATTATTATTAACTTTGATAGCAAAGAGATCTGGTAATGCTCAAATTGAAAAAGCAAGCTTCAGCAACAACATCTTCCCTTCCCTCCATCCACAGTGCAACTCACACAATAACCTGATGCGATTATTGCATCTAAGGGCATTCAAATGCACTTTAAGATTTTACTGTTAACCCTGGTTAATGCTATGCACGGCTCACCTTTAAGCTCCAGAACGCACTCCCTGAGCACATGACCAGGGGCTGGTTTGGATTCAAGGCTACTCACGCGAACTAGGAAATGCAAACAGCAGCTGACAATCTGACCAACAGGTCAGAAAATCCCCTCTCCTCCTAATTCATCCCATCCTACCTAGAACCTTCATCATTTAAAGATGATAGGACTGAAAGCCTGCCCTACATGTGAGTGCTGGGGAGTATCTTGAGATATCAATGCTGCTCTGGAAGACATCATTCTAGTTTTTGCAACTCAAACAACCAGGGAAGAAGTAATGCGCTTTCATAAATGAGCTAAAAATGGAGCAGTAACTCAGGCATGGGCGTGGGGAGCATCAGAGTTGTAGTCATGAAGAAAAGGCAAGCAGAAGGTTCTAGAACCTCAAAAATAAATTTCACAACTGGTCCTCGAGATAAATCTTTTATTCTTTCAGGAATGATATAAATAAAACATCTGCACTGTTTCTAGTAAAGTTATCCTCTTGTCCAAGTAAGGGCTTAACTTATAATAAATAAACAGACAAAATATGACTAGGCATAGTATTTTCAAATGCACAAGTATTGTGCTATTTATGTGACCTACATACTTCAAATAATTCTTATTTTCAAAAAAATGCCTCTCAGCACTGATAAAATAAAGTGGTACCACAATTCACCCCCAAATCCTAAATTTTTTGCACATTTACCACACTGATGAGACAGAAAAGTAAAATGTTGCTTTTCAGTTCAGCAACTACATTTCTCTGTTTCTCTCTACACAAAACTGATGATAGAAAAGATAACAAGGGTTAAAACTGACTGCTGAGCCAGGTCAATAGTGTATGCCTGTAATCCCAGCTACTCTGGAGGCAAAGGTCGTGAGGGTTGTTCGAGGCCAACCTGCACAATTTAGCAAGATCCTACCTCATAATTTAAAAAAATAAAAAGAGTCAAGGAGATATCTCAGTATAGATGGCTTGCTTAGTATGCATGAAGTCTCAATCCAGTCCCCCCAGTATAAATATATCACACACACAAATTGGCTAAAAAGCCCTAAGAATTTTACGGTTAGGCCAGGTGTGGCGGTGCACACCTGTAGTCCCAGCACTTGGGAGGCTGAAGCAGGAGGATCATTGTAAGTTTGAGGCCAGCCTGGGCTACACAGTGAGTTCAAAGGGCCAGGGATTTAGCTCAGTGGCACTGTGCTTGCCTCACAAGTGCAAGGTCCTGAGTTCAATCCCCAGAACCAAAAAAACAAAAACACAGTGAGTTCAAGGCCAGCCAGAACTACAAAGCAAGGCTGTCTCAGAAAAAAGAAAACAAAGAATTCTGTGATTAAAAATAATCAGATCTATGGTGGTTGTACAACACTGTTGAATGAATTAAATTTCAATGAATTGTATACTTTATCTATTTATTTATTTATTTTTGGTACCTTGCACTGAGCTAAATCCCCAGCCTGTATACTTTATTTTGAGACAGATTTCACTATGTAGTTCAGGCTGGCCTCAAACTCACAGCAATCCTCCTGCCTCAGCCTCCTCAGAGCTAGGATTATAGGCCTGTGCCACCATTCCCAGCTCAATGAATTGTATACCTTAAAATGGGGAATTTGGGATAGGGGTGTAGCTCGGTGGCAGAACGCTTGCCTCATACACTGCAGACCATGGGCTCCATTCCCAGCACCACCAAAAAGGGGGTGGGGTGTAATTTGATGCTAGTGAATTTCATCTCAATTACAGAAACCAAAGAGCTGATCTCTTAAACTCTGCATATGTTTATGAATAAAACAGGCATAATAAGCCCCTTTCAGCTGTACCCCTGACTTTATATAGTTAAACCTATGCTGGGTCCCGCCAGGGGTGCCTTTTCAAATAGGACACGTATTTTGCTTAATGTGCACTCTGCCTATAAGGGTGCTCTACTTACATCTCCCAGGGCAGCTACTTGCTCTCCTCGGAGCTCACTTCTCTTTGTAAAGAAGCAAAGTTCACTGACATGTTCCTGTCAACCCACAAACCGTCACTGAAGATAAGACGTTAATGAATTCCACACAGAGAACTCAACATTTACTGGAATTTCTGTTCCTGAGTCCTGGATTCTTCTTTTACAAATACTTTGAACACTGCTAGAAAAACAATTCCTCAAAATTCAAAGGTCTTAAAACTACTAGACATAAAACAGAGCAAAAGGTATCATGTCAATTACAGCAAACACCTCTGTAGCTCTTTCTAGTCACAAAAAAGGAAACGACAAGATAGCAAATTTTACCAAAACCCTTTCAGAAAGGGCAACGGCCTGCGTGAGCACTGATGAGGCTAAATGCTTGTCTTACAACACGGGAATATCTGGCAGCAAATAAAGGCGCTGCCTAAGGTTCGCCTTGAAGGAAAGTCCCAGGACTGAACAGCTGTATTAGTATGCGTTGCGGATCTGGATTTCCACCTGACTTTGGGGGGGTACGTAATTAAAGGATGAGGTAAATAATAAGATACAAGATGGCTTTCTTGGTATGGTGGTTACAACACAGGGATCCTATGTGACATGCAGACTGTCACTGATCCAATCCGGTCATTAATTTGTTGTCCCACAAACTCAGAGAACTGATTTTTAGCACTACTCATGTGGTAAATATATGTACATCTCTTGCTATTCTTATGTTAAAAGTTCGTTCAAACTGGGGGCGTGGCTTTATATTTTTTCTTCCCAAAGCACCTAGCACAGCACCAGGAGTGGCAGCACTTGGGAGGCTGAGACAGGAGGCTCACTGTGAGTTCAAGGCCAGTCTGAACTGCGTATACATATACAATGTCACAAACAAACAGCACTAATCAAATCAACCAACCAAAACACCCAGTGCAGACTGTTTAAAAGACTCAATGCTTGACCAATGGTTGAAAGGGGCACATGCACTGAGCAATGCTGCTGTCAGTCCAATCTCCTCTGCAGAACCTCAGTCTGTCTTTTCACTAAGCAAACTGCACGTGCGGCTCACGTGTGGAAACAGGAGTTCTCCACAGAGGCATATCTGGAACCCAGCTTTGCACGGAAGCCACGGCAGCGAGGCTGTACCTGTCTGAAGACATCCTCGTCCTGGTGAGTCGTCCTCACCAGCTCCTGGATGAAGCCGTAAGGGAGATTCCTGCACAGCATGTACGGCACGAGGAAGGACGGCTGCTGCATGGACCTGCGGACCCCCAGAGAGCCAACCACCATGAAGTCACCGCCGTGCATAACACGTGGACACAAGAAGTGTCATGGCAACATCAGGTGGCCACATGCAAGACAAACCTGAAATCTCTAAATAGCCTGCACAACAGTTTTAGGCAAAAGACAGTCTTTCTGGGCCGAGGATTTAGCTCAGTGGTTTCACCGCCTGCTTCGCAAGCCCAAGGACCCGAGTTTGATCCCCGGTACCAATAAAAAAAAAAAAAGACAGTCTTTCTTACCACTTGGTAAACACTTCTTGGACTTTTAAAAGAGCTACTATAGTAAATTTCAAAGATTCCATCTCTTTCTATATAGTCTTTTACAAATGAATCATTAAACTGAGCATGGTGGTACATGCCTATAATCCCGGCACTTGGGAGGCTGAGGAAGGAGGATTTCAAGCTCTAGTCTAACCTGAGCAACTCAGTGAGACCCCATCTCAAAATTAAAAATGCTAGGGATAGGGTCGGGGATTTAGCTCAGTGATGCCGTGCCTGCCTCGCAAGCCCAAGGTCCTCAGTTCGATCCCCGGTAAAAAAAAAAAAAAAAAAAAAAAAGACCAATATCCAGGAAACCCAAATATTTTTGCAACTATATATTCACAAATTGCCGATATATAAACTGATAGCCTTGCAGAACACAACTGGCATACACATGTCTAAAGATTTATGTTCATTACTTTGACCAGTAATTCTCACTTCTGAGAATCTCTCCTAAGCAGTAATTCAAATGACAGAAAACTATTGTTGGTATATTTCACTGCAGTTACTACATATATGAATTAAAAGTTCAAAATTATGTTATTACATGTTATAAAGCTAATAGAAATATTCAAACCATTCAAAATGTTTTTAAAAAGTCCTTATTACAAAATTAAGTCAAATATTAAAGTCAGCCAATGCAAAAATGGGTATCTGAAATAAAGACACTTCTCAGATGAAGAATTAGAAAAGGCAGGGCCAGGGATTTAGCTCAGTGCTATTGCTCCTGCCTTGCAAGCTCAAGGTCCGGAGTTCAATACCTGATAGCAAAAAAGGGGGAAAAAATGGCAAATAAATATATGAAAAAATGTTCAACATCACTGGTCATTCGAGAGATGCAAATTAAAGCCCCTAAA